TCCCCCCATCCATCCATCCATCCATCCATCCATCCATCCATCCATCCATCCATCCATCCATCAATCTTCCGTCTTTCTGTGGCATGTGTGGAGGTAAATGACTGGGAATGAGAGCTAAAGCTAATAAGCAGGCCATCGCTAATCTTTTAAACAAACCTCCTTTCTCCCTTCATCGTCTCCTTTCTTGCATTATAAATAATGTATATTTTGCCAGCAACACATGCACCCCCCCCCCCCACACACACACAGACTCTCAACAGCCCTCACAATGTCTCTTTTGACTTCTGAGTTGCCGGTAGAGTTCAATCTGGTCTTCAAACACGTCTTATTTTCGGCCCTCCCCCCAGCCTTATTGGTTTACTTTAATTAGCGTTATTGAAAGCAGGGGCAAATGAAAGGGGGGCGGGGGGGGTTGCTGGTAGTGGCGTAAATACTGAAAACAAACAAGAAGGGCTGAATGGGAGGATGGCAGGGGGGGGGGGGGGAGGCCCGAGGCCGCGGCGCAGACGGAAGAGGACACATGGTGTAAGCAAACACTTGTAATTGCATTAGATTCCCCTGGCACAAGAGTAATCTAGCCTCCCCCGTCCCAGAGCACAACAGGACACATCTCCCGCACAACTCCTCACTCTTTGCCACATTCCCCCCTTTTACTAATTATTAACGCAAAACCCATTGATCATTCAGCAGATATGACAGACGACTAATTATCTTTAAGGGGACTTTGTTGTTGGGTCTCAGAGAGTGAGTCCTCACAGATTCACTTGTTTGAGAAATACAGAACATTTAAATGTATGTGTGATTGCCTTCACGTATGGCTGTGCTAGCATGAGTGCATTCCATTAAACGTTTGTCCTGTTTGATATTTCATTCCTCAGCCCACATGTCTTGAGAGTATGAGCAAATACATTTGCTTGAAGGGGGATATTCCCTGAGCAAACGGGGGGGAAATCTGGCCTTGATTTGAATATCACTGACTGTCAGGTGTAATTGGGATGAGACGTCCTTATTGGTCCTTATTGAGACGTCCAGCTCTCGCACATTTCATTGTTCACGGTGATGTAAAAATGAGTCGTCTCCCACTGTTTTGTAGTCGTTCATTCAGAGCAGTTGTCCACTTGTTTTTTTGCTCCTGAAGAAACTGCCTCCACTAGGTTCCACTTCCTCAAGATCCACACAAACATTAGAAATACTCCAAGCTAATGCAACCAAATCTTTTTTTAAATATTTGTTCGTCACAGCAAATAAGCAGAACTTTTTTGAATAGTTAGCTCAACAAGAGACCAGATTGCCATGTTTACTCGAGTTTACACTTGTTAATCAAAAATACCCCTGGTCTATTATTCAAGTCCGTATGTATCCTCTACTTTGACAGAACCCAGGCTTCACTTTGATGTTCTTGAGATATTTCTGCTCATTTAAAAAAATTCTCTTAACCAGGATGCAGGATAGTATGAGAAACAAAAAAAAATAGAAGTTACAAATCCAAAACTGTAAACATTACTTGTGAATCAACAAATACTAAGGCAAGGAAGCACCACAGGCACATCGTCTCTATTGTTTAATGCAAATAATTCTGATTCTGGTAG